GGGACCCCGGAGATGACAGGTGAATGCGGGGACCCCGGAGATGACAGGTGAATGCGGGGACCCCGGAGATGACAGGTGAATGCGGGGACCCCGGAGATGACAGGTGAATGCAGGGACCCCGGAGATGACAGGGGAATGCAGGGACCCCGGAGATGACAGGGGAATGCAGGGACCCCGGAGATCACAGAGAGGTGAATGCAGGGACCCCGGAGATTGACTCTGTTTTTCTTCTCCTCAGGGGCCCGGCCCTGACCCGCACTCCCATTCCTGGACTGTCCATCCCTCCTTCCAGCTGCTGCCCAGCACATCGCAGGTCCTGGTTTTCCCGTCCTCGGTACCTCCGGCAAAGCCTCAGCCACCCATCGGAAAGTCCACCAAATACTTTCCTATTCTGGACTCCTTCCCCAAGATCGCGCCGCACCCACCACAGGGCCACAGGAGAGCAGCCGAGACCAGGCGCCAAAACCAAACAAAACGGGGACTTCCCGGACCGCCGCCCTCCGGGGAGAGGGGAGGTTCCTCGGAGGGTCCGGTGGCTCCGGACTGTGACCTGGGCCCGGCCACCGCACCCAATGAGACCAGAGACGGCGCCGATCGCCTGGCAGCACCTTTCTCGGGCTCCTCTCAGACTGGCCTCTCGGCGCCATCTCAGCGGGAGAAGAAAAGTCGCCGGTTTCGGAACACGCTGGGCGTTCTACACCGTTCCGGCCTGCTGAGCATTGCCATAAAAACCAAAGAGCTGGCCCGGCTTAACCAGGCCACCCAGAGCCAGCTGGAGAGGCTGCAGGAGCAGGTCAGCCTGTACACCACGGCCATCGGCAGTAACCTCCCGGAGGACTGGCGGAGGCTGCAGGAATCGCTGCCCGAGCCCAGCGGGCCGCCGGAGGGGATTGCCATGTGACTTGCTCTCACCACGGATGGCTAGCGCTGGCACCGTGTCACCATATAGGGACTGGTGGGATCGGAAGGACCTCCAATGGAATCGGTGCCCGGAGCGGAAGGTGTCCACATCCCCGAGGATTATTCTTCATTTCAGGACGTTCGGTGAAGCCGCAGCAATCGTTCCACCAGCCAGATACACGTCCAGAACCGCCGGCGTATAGCCGGATATTATAGAGCCGTTTATTCCAAATAGATATCGGGACATTCCAAAGACCCCGACCAGTCCTGGTGACACCTGCGTAGATAGACCCCGACCAGTCCTGGTGACACCTGCGTAGCTTTGCCAAGACCCCGACCAGTCCTGGTGACACCTGCGTAGATAGACCCCGACCAGTCCTGGTGACACCTGCGTAGATAGACCCCGACCAGTCCTGGTGACACCTGCGTAGATAGACCCCGACCAGTCCTGGTGACACCTGCGTAGATAGACCCCGACCAGTCCTGGTGACACCTGCGTAGATAGACCCCGACCAGTCCTGGTGACACCTGCGTAGATAGACCCCGACCAGTCCTGGTGACACCTGCGTAGATAGACCCCGACCAGTCCTGGTGACACCTGCGTAGATAGACCCCGACCAGTCCTGGTGACACCTGCGTAGATAGACCCCGACCAGTCCTGGTGACACCTGCGTAGATAGACCCCGACCAGTCCTGGTGACACCTGCGTAGATAGACCCCGACCAGTCCTGGTGACACCTGCGTAGATAGACCCCGACCAGTCCTGGTGACACCTGCGTAGATAGACCCCGACCAGTCCTGGTGACACCTGCGTAGATAGACCCCGACCAGTCCTGGTGACACCTGCGTAGATAGACCCCGACCAGTCCTGGTGACACCTGCGTAGATAGACCCCGACCAGTCCTGGTGACACCTGCGTAGATAGACCCCGACCAGTCCTGGTGACACCTGCGTAGATAGACCCCGACCAGTCCTGGTGACACCTGCGTAGATAGACCCCGACCAGTCCTGGTGACACCTGCGTAGATAGACCCCGACCAGTCCTGGTGACACCTGCGTAGATAGACCCCGACCAGTCCTGGTGACACCTGCGTAGATAGACCCCGACCAGTCCTGGTGACACCTGCGTAGATAGACCCCGACCAGTCCTGGTGACACCTGCGTAGATAGACCCCGACCAGTCCTGGTGACACCTGCGTAGATAGACCCCGACCAGTCCTGGTGACACCTGCGTAGATAGACCCCGACCAGTCCTGGTGACACCTGCGTAGATAGACCCCGACCAGTCCTGGTGACACCTGCGTAGATAGACCCCGACCAGTCCTGGTGACACCTGCGTAGATAGACCCCGACCAGTCCTGGTGACACCTGCGTAGATAGACCCCGACCAGTCCTGGTGACACCTGCGTAGATAGACCCCGACCAGTCCTGGTGACACCTGCGTAGATAGACCCCGACCAGTCCTGGTGACACCTGCGTAGATAGACCCCGACCAGTCCTGGTGACACCTGCGTAGATAGACCCCGACCAGTCCTGGTGACACCTGCGTAGATAGACCCCGACCAGTCCTGGTGACACCTGCGTAGATAGACCCCGACCAGTCCTGGTGACACCTGCGTAGATAGACCCCGACCAGTCCTGGTGACACCTGCGTAGATAGACCCCGACCAGTCCTGGTGACACCTGCGTAGATAGACCCCGACCAGTCCTGGTGACACCTGCGTAGATAGACCCCGACCAGTCCTGGTGACACCTGCGTAGATAGACCCCGACCAGTCCTGGTGACACCTGCGTAGATAGACCCCGACCAGTCCTGGTGACACCTGCGTAGATAGACCCCGACCAGTCCTGGTGACACCTGCGTAGATAGACCCCGACCAGTCCTGGTGACACCTGCGTAGATAGACCCCGACCAGTCCTGGTGACACCTGCGTAGATAGACCCCGACCAGTCCTGGTGACACCTGCGTAGATAGACCCCGACCAGTCCTGGTGATACCTGCGTAGATAGACCAAGACCCCGACCAGTCCTGGTGAAACCTGCGTAGCTTTGCCAAGCAGAGTAGTGAGTAGGCAGCTGTAGCCGGGGGAAGGGAGCATCCCCTTTATACCGCCATCTACCTCCACGTCACGTGTGTTCGGTCAGCTGACTCCAGGAAGTGCCGCCATTGGCTGAACACGCCGGAGCACAATATGGCTGCCTGTCCTGGGGCCCGCGGGAACGTCTCCACGCCATGCGCTCCGGCTGAGGGGAAACATCTGTAGATTCTTCCGGAATGTGAAACTACCCTGACATGGCCGTGTTGTCATTCTGCGTGTTGTTCAATAAAGTTTTTTTCTATAAGAGTCGCTTTATCTCTCTGAAATTTGGTGTGAGCAAATCTCTGAGCCCCCAGTACCTGCAGATCGGCCCTCAGGGGCCCCATATGAAGAGACTGCTGCCCAATCCTCCCCATGACACAGATCTGTGATCTCAGTACCTGCAGATCGGCCCTCAGGGGCCCCATATGAAGAGACTGCTACCCAATCCTCCCCATGACACAGATCTGTGATCTCAGTACCTGCAGATCGGCCCTCAGGGGCCCCATATGAAGAGACTGCTACCCAATCCTCCCCATGACACAGATCTGTGACCTCAGTACCTGCAGATCGGCCCTCAGGGGCCCCATATGAAGAGACTGCTACCCAATGAGTGACACAAATGTCAGCCTGGCATGGGATGCTGGGATTTGTAGTTCCACAAAGCTGGTCAGGTCTTGTTTGTAGAAACATTCATCTCAGTGCAGACATAAGAGGCGGGGCCTTCACGGGGGGGGGGCTGATGTGTCTCATGCCGGGTATGCCAGCACTTGGCTCCGCTCCTGTGGCCCTCTGTGGGAACTCATAGATGAGAAGTGTTCCACCTGCTGAAGTGTCTGTAACTCTGTTCGGACGGTCCTGTGATCCAGACATTTATTTTGCTGATGCTTTGTGTATATTTTGGCATTATTAAATCTGTTGA